ATATGGATCAAATCAATCCTCATAAACCCTAATAGGTTTACCACGGATAAACTGTTTAGGTCTATGTTTTCCATAATACGCAACCATTGACTAATTAAAGCTGTGATGTTCTTGTGGTGCTAAATCGAGAAATTTTTGATTCATTACATCAATCAGAGGTCAAACCTTTTAAAATTTGTCCCGTGTAACCAATTTTGCATTGTCACAGCAATGAATATGATAAATCTGAAACGGCTTTAAATAAATGGAAATAAATCCACTGTATAATAAAATTCCAATAAAACACTTAATTTCGTTTGTTGTAATATCGCCTTCATGGTTATGTAAATTGACGTACATATTTAAAAATTCAACAAGCATCTGAGTATCTGTATCAAAAAATAGGAAAACAGTATGGAAATCATGTTTTTTGTACCTTCTATTATACTCCCACTTGAAATCTTACTATCTGTCGTTGTCTATCGATAGTTTTTGCGGCGTTTGCTTTTTTGTGCTTTCGTTTAAGGCATGTCGTCTTCATCTTCATTGATATCGGATTTGGTATGGGTTTTTGGATCATTTATGATTCTCTGGCTCTACTCGTTGTTGATTTCCTGTCAAGTTACTTATTTCCATAGACTCTTCATCACCGCTGTCCTCGTCAGTCTCTTCCCCATCGTTGGGTGGAAAAATAATTATGTCATCAGGAAGTTCATTATCTGACAATTTTGTATCTCGTACATTAACTTACTTAAAGACAAAGGTTTTGTTCAGTACCTGTATGAACTTCTGGCTAATCATTGATGATTTACCATATTCCTGCTTGTACCATTTATTATTACAAATATAAAAAACTTTAATTAATTAGGGAGACGTGTTTACCTATTTATTGCTGCATGACAAGAGAGCGAAATTATCATTTGACAGCCGTTACATCAATCATGACAGGCTTGCCTTGTCTTTTACTACACAAGTACCTAAGCTTAACAAAATAAAATTTATGTCTAAACATGTCGGCCCCCTTGAAAGGACGCAGTTTCTTTCAAAACCTACAGAACTAACAAAATAAAAACAATGATTAATGAATTAAAAGAAATGGTTAACAATACAGTTAAAAATTGTCAATTCTCATTACTTAAATTGAAATTAACATACAAAACATTATGAATTGAACAACTAAAATTAACAGTCTATTGGCAAAACACATATACGATTGAGTGCTCTTTTTGTTTCACTACCACGCACTTTAACA